TGTGCTGGAGTTAAGTGACCACAGACAGAGTGAGCATCAGAAACCATACTTCGAAGACACTCAAGGAATAAAGGAGTACAGCCTGAGGAAAGGCACCAGCAGAAGAGGAACTACTAGAGCTGCCAAGACCTGTTGTTTCTTCTCCATTCAAACAGACACTGTGATAGGCATGGCACAATGAACAGACAGGAAAACTTCAGGCAGAGCAAAGAGAAAGTGTGGACATCCTTGGGCAGGGGGCAGCATGGCATGTCAAGCAGCCGGTGTGGCTGGACTAGCGAGAGCAAGCAGGAGGGTGGCAGGAGGCCAGCAGGCCAGATCATACCAGGCCTTCACGGCCACGGCAGCAGTTTGGTGATGGAAAATACACAACACAAGCTCAGCAAAACAGAGCAGAAGGACCAAACCAGTCCCAAGGTCCTAGGAGCACCTGATAGAAACAGGGTGTAGGATAAGTGATCTGGCCGGTTGGGGATGGCTGCTGAGGTTCCAGGAACAGGGCGATAGGAGTCAAGGTGATATGGGTCCAGAGCACACTCCAAAGCACTTCAAAAGCGGATGCTGACTCATGGTCAATCTGAGCTAAGATGACAGCAGTTTCATCTCTTGTCCTTTATTACTCATCCACAGACCAATCTCCCAAAAATACCTACAAGGAATGGTGGTAAATATATATGGAAGCAGAAGAGAGAAAAAGTAATTATGATTAAGAAAATGGATAGTAAAGCTCTCTGGAGGAAGCATTAACAGAGATGAGTCTAGACTAAAAGGACTAGAGGCCATTCCAATCATAAGACTATGAGCAAAAGTATAAGCAAAGGCAGTTCAGTAAGATGTCTTTGTGCATTTGGCTGTGTGGAAAAATAAAACAACCTGGGGCCACATTTGGGGGCCAAGGGGATTTGCACTCTGCTGAAGTATTTGACCTGAACTCTGGGAAATGGGGAGTAATCCAAGGTTTCCAAAAAGGAGAATGACACAACCAGAGCTATACCTACAGAAGACCACTCTGATGGCAGTGGGAAGTAACAGATTTATAGTCTACTTTAATTGACCAAGGAAGAGATCACAAGGACAGAAACAGCAAAAATGAAGAGGAGAGGGAATGGTACCTAGAAACCATGTATGTACATGCAGGCAAAAAAGTTTAGATTGTTTTTTTTTTTTCCTGCTAGTGTTATTTCTTGCTATCTCTAAACCTGTCTTTTAGGAGGAAATACGAGAATACGGTTTTTAATGTGTATCAGAATAACTTTCTCAACCCACCAAAATTTTAATATGAGTTTTTAACAACAATTTGCCATATCAGCCTAGCAGTTTACTTAAGTTCTAATTCAGTGCTGGCCAGGCAGCTCACTTGGGAGAATGTGGTGCTGGTAACACCAAGGTCATGGGTTAGGATCCCTATATCCTCCAGCCGCCAACAACAACAAAAAATAAAGTTCTAACTCATCTTCATTTACAAAACGAACTAAAATATGTGATACACAGAGCTATAATCACTATTCTTGCCTTTTACAACCAAAATAATTTAGTCTGAGATAAAATACTTGTACTCTGCGCAGCCACAACATTGAGACAAATTAGAACCCACACAGGAAAAGGCCTCCTATTCCTTAAGATAAGTTTTTTCTTATGAAGGAGGGATGGGGAAGGGGAGAAAACATTTAAGATCTATAGTGCTGGGCTACATGGTACAAAGCAATCTGCATTTCCATTTCCTTTGGGTTAAGTACCGCTGATACCCAACATTCTGGAAACCTACACTTCTAAGTTAGCCCTTTTCCAAGTTGACAGTGGAAGCATGTGCTCTCTCCACATGTCTTAGTCAATTCTTCTTAAGGCAACAGCGGGGACTAAGTAGCACTGGTCTAGTCTGCCACCAAAGATATGATTTGAAAAACATTATTAACTCTATCAACTCAGGCTTCATTTTTCTAATCTACAAGTGATGCAACTAACCATTTGGATTCCAGAGGCTCTGAGATTCTTTCTAGCTCTAAAATTGTTATTTTTGATGATGCTGTAAGGCCCTTTGCCTTCTCCCAAACTCCTTTAAGAAGCACAGAGTATCAACCTGCCTTGCTACCAGACAGTACAGCACCACCATGTTTAGGTTTGAGACTTCCAAAGAAGGTCCAGTTTGTTAATGCTGACCATCCAAAAATAAAAAAACCCACCTCTAATCTCTTAGAGGAAAGCCACTCAGGAGTGGAATAATAGAATCAAGATATAATTACCAGGGCCGGCCTGTGGCTCACTCGGTAGAGTGCGGTGCTGATAACACCAAGGCCACGGGTTCGGATCCCATATAGGGATGGCCGGTTCGCTCACTAGCTGAGCGTGGTGCTGACAACACCAAGTCGAGGGTTAAGATCCCCTTACCGGTCATCTTTTAAAAAAAAAAAAAAGATATAATTACTGCAAACTGGCTACAATATGGAATTTTAGAAGTCCAATACTTCTTTGGACTTTTTATAGCAAAAAAAAATTTATGAAATAATCTTAAACGATGGCAAGCTATCATATGGCCAAAATGCACAACATGCGTTTTGCAAGCTGCATGAAAACAGACCCCTTCTTTCTTGGGAGTTTCTATACTGTTCCTCCTTAATGAGAAATAGGGACAACAGAGAATTAGCTTGTCCCATAAGGGCTCACTACTATCTCCCATTCCACACGTTACCTAAGTAACATAAACTTATACTGATTATCAACTAAGAACAGGTGATGACTGAGCAGCAAGAATAATAAGTTATTTCACCTTTAGGGTCTCAGTTTTCACCTCTGTTGTAACTAAATTATTTGGATGATTACCACGGTCATTTTGTTTCTAAATACTCCATTCATCTTCAAGTTTGTCTCCTTTCCCCCTTACGAGGACTAGACTTCAGGTTAAAATTTGGACCCCAACTATATGCAAGGTGTCATGCTAGGAGCACTGGAAATACAGCCATGAACAAAAAAGGCCCCAATGCAACAGAAATATGCTATGGAAAGAAGAGGGTAAGAATAATTCTAAAAGAACAGGTAAAGCTTCCTGAAAGGGCTGGCATCCTGATTTTGTTTTGAATTACTAGTAGAAGCACTAGTAAAGAACACATTTTAAAATGACGAATGAAAAAAAGCATTCAGTTAGCCAGTGAGCTCAGTTGGTTAAAGCGTGGTGCTGACAACACCTAGGTCCAGGGTTCGATCCCTGTACCGGAGAGCAAAAAAAAAAAAAAGCATTCAATCAGGGCGCAAAAAGAACATAAACTTTAGAGACCTAAAGCAGGCAGCTAGCCCTGGGAGTTAAGTGACGAGATTAACTTAATCAATAAATAAGTTCCACAGCGCCAGCTGCCGTGCAGGGCCCCAGGCGTCAAAGTAGTCCGGACCTGGAGGAAAAAACGTAAAAGCAAAATGGAGGAGGGGCCAGGGAAGAGTCGGCTCGGGAGGGGAAAACCTCGTGGCTCGCTTCTCATGGCGCCAGCCAGCCTTCCTGCTCTGCTCTGCTCTCCCCGGCCCTAGGAGGCATCATCCTGCCTCGCCAGACCAGCTCGCAGCACCCAGCTCTCGCAGGCTCCCCTGGAGGAGCCGGTGCCGCAAATGAAGTTGGAGGCTGTTGAACAGTAGGGGAAACGAGTAGCCACATCTTACAAGCAGTTAAGGGAGCAAAGAAAGAACCATCTGGGAGGACTCCACCCTTCTCCACCTGCAGAGAAAGCCCGGGGCAAAACTAGGAAGTCGTTTTCCTTGTCTCCTTGCCTTGCTGGTAAAGCAAACAGGCTCCCAGGGAAGTCAAGACACCCAGACGATGACCCGATTTCGTAGATCCAAAACACGTACGCCCCGGGCACCGAAGATCATGGAACCAGTACAACTTTCTTATTGAAGCCGACCACGTTTCCTCTCATAACTATAAGAAAACAGGCTCCCCTACTATTCTCATTTCATTGATGTCAACACACCTACTTTGCTCTCGGGCTTTTACCTGGAAACCCCTGCAATCCCCAGCTCTTGCGTCCAGCCCCAGATGGAGCTCCCCTTCCCCGGGACGCCGCCTCGTGCGTTCCCGCCACCCTCGCAGCCCTCCTGGTTTGCGTCCGGGCTCGCTTCGCCCTTGGCACCCGAGCTGCACCGCTGAGCGAGCACGTCTGAAGGCCAGGGGAAGGGGGTACATCGGGGACTCATGGGGGATCCTGCTTAAAGCCCTCTCCCCCAATCCTGGACTTGCAAAACAATAAGCATCCGCTTTCTCCGCCCCTCCCCCACAGGACCCCAGCCACGAGTTACCGCCGCCGGAGAAAAAAAGCAAGAGGCAGCGCGCCCGCTCCGCGATCGTGACCGTGTACCCGCGGACCCTCGATGGTCCGAGTCTCTGCCCGCCCCCCACCGCGCGC